TTATATTTATTTCTATAATTTTTATTTATAAACATGGGTTAGGAAAATTTTTATATTGATATATATTTCTTATTAAGGAATTTTTTTTAGCATATTAAATTAAATTTTATTAGTTAGTTTTTCATAAAAAATTTGGCCCAAAATATCTAATGTCTAAAATTTAATGTCTATGTCTAAAATACAAGTAGCAAAAGAATGGAAAAAACTTAGTTGCGACATTGTTGACATTTTGTAAGAAAACAAATTCCTCTCACATTCCAGGTGAAAAGGAGAATGGCTGGCGTTATTTTTCAGTCCATGCTGAAACAAAAGTCTTTTAAGTGTCTAAGTGTTGATATGATATGATTCGAAATTCAGAATGAAATTCTCAGAAAATTCATTGAATGAAATAATAAGCACTTTCTTTTAATATAGTAAGAATTTAGGATAAGCAATTAACTCTAGGTGCGCAAGACAATCAGGAGACTATTTATATTATATAAATAAAAAACTTATTCCAAAAGTAAATACCTTAGACATCTAAACAATTTATTGGCTTTATTGCAATTTGCCAAAATGGACTTCGAAATGCGCTTCAAGCTCTACTTGGCCAACAACTCACCAAAACTTAAACAAAAATTCTTTGACATGTCACACAGACACACACACACATACATACAGTTATACGTAGACCCCACAGTTTACAGTTGTTCTGTACTAAACATGACCAATTCATGTCTTGTTTGACTTTGAGGCATTTCGACAAAAATTTCATAGCCTAGTTTTTGCGACTCGCCCGAAGATGGGCAAATTGGCCAAATGCCAGCAAAAGAGACCGACGAGCATTCAAATTGAATACTAGTGCTTAAAATCATTTAGTGTTAATAATAAATAGAGCCGTAGAACGGCCGTAACACTTTAATTTGCACACTAATTGCATATTCATGAATAAAAGAGTAGAGCCAGCAAAAAACAAATGAGTGGAACGCTGCGCAAATTAGTTTATTATTAAATCCCACAGATGTCATTTCAGGCCCCCGAGCGATCTATGTGCGTAAGAGAGACTATCTAAACGTGTGTGTGTGTGTATGTATCTGCGTGAGTTTGTGTGTCTGCTTGTGTTTATCAAAGTTTAGGTTTCAAGTCCTGCTTGGGGCTCTTGCTAAATAATTTCCGAAAAAATGATTATGTCATGTCGGACATGTGTAAATGGACAACAGAAATTTGAGTGTAAGACAGACAAATACAAACAAACATAAGTCGAGAGTGTTGTAGGCGAGAGTGATGGACTAGCTGTTACCCTATTGTATCAAAATATAATGAATACGGAATAAGTGAAACCTAAGTCGATGCTTCTAATAGTCCTTACCTGATATTTATCGATGATAAATGAAGTATGTGCGAAATTTTACCTATGTCTGGTATATCAATATAAACATAAGTGCAATTATAAGTGTAAGTGTATATAATTCAAGAAAAACGAGATGAAGTACAATCGATATTTCATAGATTTTTATTATAATAACTGAAGCAAGCTCGATATATATCGATTACAGCAAAACAGGATTCATAGCTTTGATGTATGATATAACGTTTAAATGCTTTGTAATTTAAATTAAACTCTAATAATATGCATGATATGCATATAATGAGCGATGACAAGTTAAAAACGATATTTATCGATTTAAAAAATACATTTACTTTATGAATTCGCCAATTGTCGTAGCTCACCACAAACCTAGCAAAGCTTCATTCGGCTATTCACTTTCCATTTGTATATACGTCCTAACCGACAAAACGAAGCGACAAACCGAGAGAGAGAGACAGAGATTGAATCAGAGCCAGGAGACAGAGCAGAGGATGTTGCGGGCAGGAGGGAGGAAATAAACAAGCCCGAGGCACAATCTCAAATGGACATGCGGACAATGCAAATGAAAATGAACTCAAAACTGACAGCCAAAGGCAGCAGCCCCTATACAAATTTGCAAATTGATTTCAGTCAAGAGCTGAACGAGACGGAGGCGGCAGCGGGACATAGGCCAATTGTGGCAGGAGGCGGGCAGCGACCGCAATTAGTTGACACTCGCTAATATTGTGCGGTGCGGCTGACTGCATTTCCGGCAGCCTTTTAAATACATACATACATACGTACACCACACATATACATATGTATTTGTAAGTGTGCCAACTATAAATATGTTAATGCGTTAACACAATTGTGCGTATCGCGGCTTTCGAGTGCCCAAAAAGGTAGAATAACCAGCTACGCATCCTCTCCAACTTCTCCCCCTCTCCCAGCACTCTTCTTAGTTAACTGACACACTATTTTCATGCAGCAAAGCGCCACAACAAACGGCTGTAAAAGGAAAAAGGGTTTGAGGGCTTGGAGCAGCAGCAAGCGGCTTTAATATGATTTAGCCATGGTAGCAGCAGCAACAACAGTATGGGCAGGCAGGGGGGCTGAGGGAGGCCGAGGGCAGCGACATTTGTACGCGTCGTAGCATAGCCCTTGTTTGCCAATGGACAGATGTGCTAAAGGCGCTCAGGAAACACATGCAAGCGCGTAACGGAGGCAGCAGCTTACAGAGCGCCACGTTTTATTGCACTGCAGAAAAAATGGGGCATGCGACTTAATAAACAATAAAATATTGTAGAATTGTATAAAATGTGCAATAAATTTTTTGAAATAGATTACGCACTCGTTACGCTTGCAATATATGATGTAGACTTTAAAATAAATCTTTGCCACTAAATCTAGCAGAAAACTTGATAAATAAAATATCAAAATTATATAAAAATTAATATAATGATATACATATAATAAAATGATATTTTCGTTATTAGCTTTAAATTTTTCATGTTAGGGATTCTTTAAAATTGTATTTTACGAATACTTTCTTTATAATCATTAAAGTTTTATTTATCATTTATTTTTAATATTGATTAACTTTTTGTTAATGTTTTTATAGCCTTCCTTCCAAAGCATAATGCCTATTCTTATCAATTAATATTCTTTTCTATTTTTATAAACATGTTTAATTGATTATTTTTCAAACTGTCTTCTCAAGCCTAACAATTCCAGAGCTTAGCACTATTTATATAGGTCAATAACTATTCTACTATTTATATAGGTCAATAACTATTCTACTTATTTGTTCCAAAATGTAACTTTAAAGACTTCTCCTCCTCTTTAACTCAACAGTTTAATCTGCTCATATATTTTTCTCGCAGTGTAGCCACGCATTCATTGAGTGGCAGATGGCGTTTTGTTGACTGCAGGGAAAGCACAGGGTGTTACAAGTGTGTGCACATACATACACAGACACACATATGAAGGTATACATGTAAGTGCGTGTGTGTGTGCGTGTGAGTAGGAGTTAGATGTAAAATTTCGAGTGCCTGTTGTTGTTGTTGTTGTTGGCTTCTCACATTTAGCGGCGCGTTTAGGCACTACAAAAGTTGCTAATGTTTTTAAAAGAGGCCTTTTTCATTATACAAAGTCAAACATTCTGACAGCATAAGCAAGCACAAGCCACACACACACACACACACACACACACACATACATACATACATACATAAAACCGCAATACATACACACACGCACACACACACATATGTGTAGAGGAAAAAGCGTCTGCGGCTGCTGCAAATGTTGAACAATGGAACTGCGGCTCGCTTATGTTTCTCATTCATTCATATATGCATGTGCATACATAAGTAGCAATTGTGACTCTGTGCGTGTGTGTGTGTGTGCATATTACATGATATAACGCAACACGAAACGCTTAAATTCATCAACCTTATTACACAGCGTGTTGGCTTCATTTTGTGGTCAAGAGCTGAAGCAGAAGTAGCCAAAAAAAAAAAGAAGAAAATGTTTATAGCATGCTTACAGGCGCAGCACAGCCTGAGCAGCTGGGGCAGGAGTTGGAGAGCGGGAGCGTATGGCGGATGGCGGACGGGCAGGTGGGAGCAAGGGCAAAAAGTAGCACGAGACGCCAGGTGCAAGCGCACCTGCTAACCGCTCATTAAAATGAAAAGAGGCAATATTATTGTCATATGACTGAGGATTTCATACACTTGCTCAACAGACTTATGGCAGATATACTTCAAACCAGGAACCACTGCTAGAAATTTAATATGGAATAGGTTTACAAGTTCCTCTCTCTTTTTTTCTATAGCGAGTTAGCAGTTTATGTTTGCAGAATGAAAATATTAAAAACTTTTTAGCAAAATAAAAAGAACAGATTAATATACTAGATATATACTTTTATATACTATATATAGAATACAATTTTTATAAAAATTATACTATATATATTGAAGAAAAAATGTCTTTTTAAGTCATTTCGTTTTCATATTAAACACATACTAATGTTAGTAGGAGCTTAGGTTATTTTGCAGAAGAAAGTTTTTATTTGAAAGAAAGTTTTCAGCACATTTAATGTGGGGTAAAAATTATTATAAATATATTTCTATTATTCTAAAAAATAAAATAAAACGAGTTCTCGATTTTAATTAGGATACCCACCCTAATTATTTTCATTATATGATTAACTTTTAAGTATTGAAAGAAACCTATATCTTTCTACTGTTAGTATAAATATGTAACTTTTCCCTAAACTGAGCTCAAAGAAATATATTTTATCAGCCTCTATGCCGTAAGCCCAGTAAGCGTCGTAATTACAATGCTTGCAGTAAGGGTAGAACAAGTCGACCCTACAACACACACACAGACACAACCCAGCACACACACATATGCTTGTAGCTAGTCACATGGAACTAGTTCAAGTTGTTCATGGCAAACAAACGTAAAATGTTTGGTTTGTTGTCCGTGTCGCCCTGTTCCTATTGTTGTTTTTACTGTAGGCTTTGACTCTGCTCTTTTTTTTTTTTTTTTTTGCATAAATAATATTGATTTATTGGCTGGCGCAGCATTTGCGGCTCATAAGCGAAACAATTTTTAATGCTAGAGGCGCCACCTCGTCCGTGGAGCCACGTTGTGGACTACGCAGGGTAGGGCGGACAAAAGGGATTACCTGAACCTTGGGGCAACCTATGGAAACAAATATATATATATGACACACACACACACACACATATGGCACACTTTTCGATGCCATGGCATCGTTTGCCTTACTTCGATTCGAATGTCCTTGTTGCGGGCCATGCGAAGTTTTATACGACAGCCAAGCCTGGGAGAGTCACGTTCTCGCAGGTGCCTGTCAAAGTTCATGTTAGTTAGCTGCAAGTTGTGACAAACAGATGTCACTTGACTGACGAAAGACTTAATGAAATTCCAAGAAATTCCGAATTTCAAATTTGTCCACCAAATGCAAACTATTAACAAATATCAAATAGATAAAAAGACAGCTGGCATACGACTTTAAATATGTTTAAGAGTAGTAAAGAAATACATCTATGGAATTGAGGTTATGTTAAGTACAAATTGATGAAAATACCATTAAAAAATATTTATATATATACTAAATAATAAAGAAATTCATTCTAGTCGTTTTATGTATTAAAGAATTATGTAATGATGGAAATAGAAGCTCTGCGCAGTATTGAGGGTATTTTATAGTCGGTCATTTTTACTAGAGCACTCTTACTTGTATATTACTTGACGGGCAATAATTAGGGGATGTTCTTCATTGATTATTGGTTATTATTTTAT